TAGCGCGATAATTTTGCAAAAATCATAACTTATTCGTTTTAAATCGAAGTCATATGATTTTAGAGCCCGGAGAAAGCCAATAGAAAATACTACGTATCATATGAAGACCAGATTTTCAAATAATGAGTAATTCAGGGTCAAAGCAGCAGACGAAAGGGACAACAATTCCTATGCTATACCCAAAAACAACACTTAACACATCTCATGTATTAGAAAGGAGGGTCACAAATGGTCCTACCCTGAGGACACTGAACGAATCATATAGCGAGATAATTGCTATTGACAGATCTTAACTCGACAACAATATACTGAAACTCACAACGAGAAACCTTTAGAGTCCGAACTTAACTTTATATCACTAGAGTTCAGCATTAAATACTAGAGTTCACATAACTAAGGTGGATAAATTTCCTAAGCCCCAAAGTAACATATATATCACATCACAAGTAGTCTCATTGCTATTTATGCAAAACACAATTCACCTTATAAGTATTTTCATTAATACTTATAAAAGAACATACCTTAAGCAGTGCGGCATGACGAAGACGAGTGGTCAATACACAAGGTCTAAATCACATAAACAAGTTATTCACATATAGAATAGTCTACAGAAACGCAGAGTGGCTCTGATACCAAACTGTAACGCCCCACTTTGTTTTTAAAGAAATTCCGGACTTTCCAAAAAATCAGTAAATAATTTTTTAGACTCATTTTCGAAAACATGGGCGTTATTCAAACATTTAACATCAACCAAGTCATATCTAGTTGCTCGGGGATTCATTACCCAATTTTTCACATGGTTTTCATTAACATGATTTTCAACATAAGTTATTCAGCTCATATACAAAAGCACGACATAACCAAACACATGATATCCAATTCATATTAGGTTCATCAAAACATCCCAAAAATCCAACATAGTCAAACAGGAGTTTTTAAAACATTTAACATGTCTTAACCCAAAACAAGGTTTCAAAGACTAAAACATTTATTCATGAACGAAAGCATAAATAAGCATAATCAGTAACCAACCCACTCGTCTTTCCTCGTCACCCGGCACATGCTTAACCTGCATCCGTGAAGAGCAGGTAGGAGTGAGCACAAAATGAAATGTAGTGCTCACCACTATGCACATATATAAAAATAACATGTTAAGATGGTATGGTCGTAGCATGAATATAAATCAATCAACATGTCACATCTCCAATCACAAACGCCAATTTCATTACTCATGTGTACACACCTATCATTAGCCTACCGCTGGCCTGTTCGAGGGCACGCCATGTGACTTAGCTCGTCAACCAGACAGTAGGAGTACATGTCGAAAGCACGCCATGTGACTTAGTTCGACACGCATATCGAAAGCACGCCATGTGACTTAGTTCGATATGGCCTTTCATTAGGACTCAGGGAGACTTGCCTCGCAAGGGCAACCATGCCGTAACTCGATGGGTACAACCATACCGACGGCCGAATCGGCTCACGCCGATAGGATACATGGTTTACATGCACACTTAGATCATACCAACCCAACATTAAAGTAAACACATACGGCATAGCAAATTTTATAAGTAAACCCACCTGGATAATTTAGCAGAAAAATACTTGCAAAGCAGTGTAGGTTGAGAGCTCGGATCGCCAGACACCTACATTTTTATCAAGATAGTTTCATAAATACACTACCTTGACACTTAGAAATAATTACGAGAAATCATACTTAGTCGAACATTATCGACTAAGTGGAATTTTGTGGACATTGGAACTCTCGGGGGATTGGAAATAATACTCGAAATAGTGGTCACGAGGTTAAAATTACGGTTGGACTAAAAAAGTGTCGAATGACTCAAAGACGGACAATTGGAAACATAAAAATCAAGATGCCGGAAAATGGGTAACTTTATATGCGCAACAATTTTATTTTGAATATAAATTTTGGTAGAAAACTTGAAACCAAGTGATTCTTTTTCCTAAACAATCTAAAGATTTCACTAAAACTTTCATGAAGACATCGAGCACATTCGAGCAAGTTAAAGGGCTGTAAACAACTCAAATTTACACAACAAACCTGCTGTCATTTTCTTTAGAAAAACTGGTTGCACGACAATCGTATTTCGAACGTATCTTTTTGTATAAAAATGATATTTGAATGGATCTTGTGCCATTTGAAACCTAAGACATAGCACTACAAATCATATGAAGATATCAAGATTTCCTGGCCACCCGAAGTCGGCCAAAAACAGTAAAAATGACAGACACGTACTTCTGCGATTAAAACGAAAAACTGACTGCGCAATGATAGAATTTTTGACACAATTTTCAATATAAAAATGATAAACACTCGATTCTTTTTCCTCATAAAAGATAACGCATTGAAATACATTTTACGAGAAGACCTCAAAAAGAGACGTCGAGGTTCCAGTGTTCAAAAACAGCCATGAAAACCGAGCATATACAAGACTAGAAAACCAGAAAAACTTGACGCGCAACCGACAAACTTTGGCCATAACTTCCAGCAAAAAATTGATATTCACCTGATTTTTGTTGGAGCTGGAACAGAACAGACTGAACTACAAATCACTAGAAGAGTTCGTAGATGTTTCACTGAGCTTTATGGGTCAAAACAGCGACCAGACAGAAATTAGTCAAAGGTTTTCAAAATGGAGTTTTCAAAGCCCAAATCTTAATCAAACAACGATCACGAGACAAGGGCTCGGACGACAAGTCAAGGCTCAAATTTACTTAATTACACCTAACCAATACACAACAAAATAATAGAGCTTGATAACACAACGAGAGAGTTCCAATATCCACGTTAAATCCACAAGCAACTATACCCAACAAGATGGAAAAACCAAATAATGACCCAACCGTAACCAACAGTTTCGCTTCAACGAACACGAATTCAATTCAATGAGTCCAACATGAGCATAAACAGAATAGAAGGTTCGACCGATTACCTTCCTTCGGGAATTAAATGAGAAACGGATGAAGGAGATCGGGACTAAGGGCCTCGGACGCGGCTCTCGACTCTCGGGTCGCCACGCGGTTTGAAAACCGATATGCTCGCATGGACCGGGGCTGTATGCGGCTCTCGAAGGCTGAACGAACGTGGATTTCCTTTGTACAAGGCGAACGGATACTGCTCGTAAGGTACATAGCGTGAATCTGCTGCTCGATGGCCTCTTCCTCTCTCATGCTTGGCGTACGCAGCTGCAGGTAGTGCACTCGCGGATGAAGGCCTCGCCGACGATCGAATTGACGGGATGAAGTTACGTGTGGGGGCTGAGATTTAAGGGGGTTGATGACGATATATAAATCGGGTTTGTGGCGTGAAGAGGTTCTTGAAAAAATGAGGCTGCGCGAATGGATACGGGAAGAAGAACAGAAAAACAAATACCTATCCCTTGATTGGTGAGAAAGGAATTAATAAGGGATGAAAATAAAATAAATTCCCCTACACATACAGGTATATTGGGACGTCCAAATGTGTTGGAAATTCAACTCTTAAAGGCTGATCTCTATCACTTAAAATCATACCAAAATATTTAGAATCTATTTGATTTAATCCAATAAAATTAAAGCCATCAATTTAACAAAAGGACCGATTAAATTGATCAATAAAACCGAATTATATCGCTTATTGGGCTGAAATGAAATTCTAATCCTGGTTTCGAATAATAATAAAAAGTCGAAAACAAGTAAAATCGACGTTACCGGATAGGGACAAAAGAAAAAAAAAATGATCGGCATTCGCTTAACCGTAAATTCTAATAATCTCTGAATATTTTAAATAGACTAAAATGTCTAAATAAATTAATTATCTCAAATGAATAATTAACACCAACACCTAATTAATCTGGAAATTTCATAATTCAAACGGATTAAAATGTGGTTTACGCGATTAAACCGAAATCGTCAACCGACGAACGTTTTAACAATAAAACGAACAAGTACTTAAATATGTTATTTAAGTACCAAATAATGACGACATCATGACCAATATATTAAAACATAAATCATATGATAAAATCGATAAATAGAATAATCTGATAAATTCTATAAATCGAACGGAGCGCTACATAATTACGTAATAAAACATAATTAATTCGTATCTTCTCTTCATTTTCAGTCCTTTACTTTCATTAAACTCTATTTTAACCGTTGATCGGATCCGTCCATCAACACGTCGCTTTACGGGCCGTGTCCGGTACCTACTTTTTCTTTTGTCTCGGCGGTCCGGGATATGGCCGGTTTCACGGGCCGGCCCTTGGTTTTTGGCGGGCCGTTAAGGGTCACCCATGGAAGGTCCGCTGGCCTGCGGGCCGGGCCCATTGACTGGACACCTCTAATAGCATTACTCTAGTAAATAGATTGCAGTTACTAGGGGTAATTGGATATGAATTCAACTAGTAAAAAACTAGTTTATTTTTAACTATAGTAAAGTTTGAAGAAAAGTAGTATGGTTAGTTGTTAGGTGATATATTAAAATAATATTTAAATTAAAATAATTAAAGTTGATTTTGATGTAAAAGTAGGAGAAAATGATTGGAAGTGATTTTTAGTTAAGATTATGTGAGTGGATGACTAGTGAATTAAAGTTGATGTGATGCGTAATAATGATTGGTTGATATTATTTAATTACATTGATGATATTGAAGATAGTAGAATTGAATTAAAATTAATTAAATTTGAATTTTCACTGAAATATTTACCATAGAAAATATAAACAATCATGCCCTATACCACCAAGAGACTTCACTGAATCTCGCTGGCATCAGTCGATACGATTTTAATTATCACCGGAGATCAATGCAATAATCTCCGGCACGCGATTCCCAAGAATCCATCGATCCCAACAAACAAATCTGCGGCGCAGTCAATGTAGGAATACTCTCCTCTTCTTCAGCTGCATTACACTCTTCGATTGCCATTGAATTTTGTACTCGCCGATCTTCACTCCTCCCTTAATGGATTGAGGACTGCAATAGATCAGTAAAAAGATGGCGAGTTTCTTACCTCAGTTTCAGAGTATCAAGACGACCTTCGATCACGTTGTACTTGCCGGTACCTCCATTACTCTTAACACGTTTACGCAGCCCTAATTTTCGTTGTTGCTGCATAGTATGAAGTATCGTTTTATTTGTTTGCTAGTTAATTATGTATGTATCTATGTGTGTGTGTGTACTTGTTCCTTCTTAAACTGATTGTTTTGATCTTAGTATGTGACCTATGTAATTTTATTCACTCGAAGAATATTTGCATTGTATAGTAGCGCTCACACCGGGCCTCTTTGTTTTTCTTCTGTTCTGGGCTTTGAAGTCGTGAATTAAGGTTTCTCACTGCAGTTTCGCTGTTACCAATAAGCTTTTTAGCCTTTTATTGCTTTCTGGACCCAAAAAGACTTCATTAATGAAGATCATCTGCCCTTTGTTTTACGTTGTACCTTTTCCTTTCAATTATCTATAGTTGAATTGTTGAAATGTAGAATGGAGGAATCATCAGCGTTTTTGGCCAATTGGCAATCACACCTCATCATAATATATACATATATATACATCTATAGTAGTCAGTACTTGAGCAGGTTGATTTCTTTGTAGACATTGCTGCCATGAATTATTAACTGTATTCTTGATTGATTTCGTATAAAAAATATGACGAGAAAAATGAATTTTGTTATTAGCCTTTAATAACACACATATTTATCTTTTTTCAGTCGAGGATGTAAGTGATCTGTGGCCAACGGTCAAGAATGATTTTGAAGAAAGGTTGCCGTTCAAGAGAGCTTTTCTAAATAACAAGACCCGTAATCCGGTGCTTGTTGATGAATTACCTGCTGAATTTATACTGACTACGGATGCAAGACTACGTAGTCGATATCCTCAAGAGCAATCATTATTCTGGTTCAGAGAACCATACGCAACTATTGTTCTTGTTACTTGTGAGGTAATACTTACTTCCTCAAGTTATCGTGTTATAATCCGCCTGGATGATACGTCTGCTATTTGTGGAGGATATGTCTAATTATTCCTCTTTAAACAGGATCTTGACGAGTTTAAGAACATTCTCAAACCACGTCTTAAACTAATTGTTCAAAATGATGAACGGGAATGGTTTATTGTTTTTGTGTCTAAAGCTCCAGCCCATAACGATCAGGCAACCAAGATGGCAAAAAAAGTTTATGCCAGACTTGAAGTTGATTTTAGTTCTAAGAAGAGGGAAAGGTATGACTTCACTGGTAATTATGTGATTGACAAGTTTTAGGCTGTTACATGTTCTAACAATGCAGAACTTTTCAAAAGCTCTGAATGGTTGGGAAATTGTAACTGATAAAGTTCTTACGATCATGCTGGTTAATGTTGCTGTGACTAAATCGAGGGTTTCGTTAAGGAGAAAAGTAAAAGTAAATTAAGAGTTTTCTTTTAGTAAGATGCTAGAATCTTAATATGACACTCATGTGCATTATTAGGTGCTGCAAATTGGACATCAATGGGCCTGAAGCGAATTTCTGGGAAGACCTGGAAGCTAAGACGATGGAGTGCATTAGGAATACACTTGATAGACGAATCCAGTTTTATGAAGAGGAAATTCGGAAGCTCAGCGAACAGCGATTTATGCCAGTTTGGAACTTCTGCAATTTTTTTATCTTGAAGGTATTTTTTGTGTTGGAAAACGCCAATAATAATTTCTTGTCGGTCTGTGGTTCTTTAAAAAGCTACCAGGAAGCTCTTAGTGATTAACTTGTTTGATTGATTATTTATATTGAAAGCAAGATAATACAAATGCATTTTCGTAATGAGGATAGTCGAGGATTTGCATACCTTTCTTACTTGCTGAAGTGGATATTGTGCTCCGACAATCTTGGTGGTGGAAAATTAGTTCTCATTATTGATTTCGATTTTCGTCCTTTCCCTAATAATTCTGTTATTTGTAACTAGAAGTTTCAAGTATTCTTATATTTAAAAGAGGCTAATTTTTTGTTAGGTTGATTATAAATACACAGTAATTATGTTGGTGGAGTTGTATGAAGAAACCAGGGGCGGATGTAGGAAAAAAAATTTGGGAGGGGCCAAAACAGTTATTAGAACCGGATTGTGTTAATTTGTTCAACTCGTGAAAGTTTGATCTCATATAATTCAAATATTTAAGTAAGTCAAGCTAGAGTGACTATTGAAACTTTCTTATTAAACAAATCCAGTAGATTGAAGCTTACACAAGTCAAGTTTGAGCTCATATTTTTGTTTAAGTTGATCCGACTCATTTATTAAACTATCACAAGATTAAACATGAGGTATTCAACTTAACTCGTCACGAATAACATTTCGAGGGGAACAATATAACTTTTAATATCTCCCTCTTACAGACATATATATAGGCGTAAAATTGCATTTTAAAATGGATAAAACAGTTAATAAGCTGTACTACAAAATACATAACTTCTTAATTTTGGTAGTTTAAATACTCAACATTCTTTACACTCACGAAACTCATTGATGATTGGCTCGAATGCTATAATTAGTAGGCTATAATTTTTAGATAGATATATTTTTCTACAAAAAATGCATTCTTATATTATGAAATGTCATACTTTTATTTGTAATGCACTATAAAGTATGACATTTAAATATGAAAGTATAAATATATTTGTTGTCTAACTATTAAATAGTCACGAGAAGGTATACTACGATATTAATAGTCTAGCAATTCTCTTTTGAATCATTTAATTGTATATGTTGCATGTTCTTCTATTCCAAATTTACTCTTTAATTATTTAATTGTACGTAAGATCAAACACAAAATATTACAAACATTGTTGAAAGAGTAGTTACAAAATATGATGTAGTTAAAACCAATAATTAGAGCAATAAGTAATTGTAATAATTATGGGAATGAGTATATATTGAATATATTTTATATATATTTAATCTATAACATCTATATATATATATTAAAAATTTAAAAGTCTTAGAATATATATACATACCTATATATTAATTAAGCAAATTAGAAGTTTGGGAGGGACAATGGCCCCCTTATGCTAAGGTAGATCCGCCCCTGGAAGAAACCCTATTGCCAAGGTTTGCAAGGAGAGGGTAAAGTGGGAGTGTGATGGGAAGATTGTATGAAGTAGCCCAAATATCTGGTCTTCTGAGAGAGGTACTTGAAGAGTTGAACAACATGCATTGCCTCATGCAAGTGAAACAAAATTAGTTATATGAGTGGTGAAGATTTGACTGACGCCACAAAACCTTAACCTATGTGGTGCATGATATATTGTATGACAATTTTAGTATCTTGTCCACTGACTCTTCATTGCCCTTTTTTCTCAATTGTAATTAAATTATTGTCTCGCCAACACTCTATTCTGGTCAGAGTGCTGAAGTCGATTAAATTGCATTCGTCAAGATTAAACACAAGTAGAAAGGCCATTTGATATATGTCTAACTAGGATTTTCTGATACCTTCCTTATTGGTCCTTGCTGATTGATATCTACGAATACTATGAAGTAAGGCACATTATTATAAGTACTCATGAATATTCCCGCCTATGACAGGAAAGTTTGGCCTTTATGTTCGAGATTGCTCATCTCCATGAAGATGCTTTACGTGAATATGATGAGCTTGAACTCTGTTATTTGGAAACAGGTGCTGAACAAGTGTGGCATCTTACCTTCTGACTTATCTTTTAATAACTGTTAATGATTCAATTTATTTCATAACTCGTTGACATCATTGTTCTGTTTTTTTTTTTGAACATTAAATTATGTCAATTGACTTGTTTGTGTACTAATCATTCTTTAAACTTCAAGATAACCCATTTTCTTTCTGATGCGTTTGAGTAGTGCTTTTCCACTGAATGACTTAATTTGCAGTGAAAATTATCAGTTACTGAGATGGAACTATTTGTTTTTTTGTGAAAGAAGAAGAAAAGAAAAGGATTTGTTAATTCTGAACACCTTTACTTATGTACTCTCCTTTCCATCTGGTCTGCAGATTCGTTTCACATGTTTGCACTTAGTAATTGTAGATAGAAATTGAATTCTTACTCTGGTTAGTTAATTTTCTTCTTTTTATTATGCCCTTTGCATGTATTGGCCTTGCAGTCAATATGGTTGGAAAGAAGAGGAACTTTGGAGGAGTGGAGCAGGGTGATGATCAAGCTATGCTGTTTGACCCCGGGAGAAAACCATTGACTCAGATTGTTCATGACGACTCATTTAGGGAGTTTGAGTTCAGGCAGTATCTATTTGCCTGTCAAGCAAAGGTGTGAAAGATATTGTTATTAGCTTAGGTTGGTTTCATATTGTGTTGCCATAACAATACAGATGCCTTTTTCCAAACCTATTTTCATCTATTGATGATTTTTATTACTCAAATACTAATATAAACTTATGATTAGCTTTAAATGTATTTTATTCTTTTCTCTGGGTACTTTCTAATTGTTTCATGGCATCTTTCTTTGTCCTCTTTGAAAAGACCCTTGTAGCAACTATTTTGTAAAGAGTTTTATGACTCGTGTATACAGCTACTCTTCAAATTAAATCGTCCGTTCGAAGCTGCTTCAAGGGGTTATTCTTTCATAGTTAGTTTCTCAAAGGCATTGACTTCACATGAGGTAGTTGACCGTCACTCATCTTTCTTTAGTACAGATGTGACCTAATTGCTTTATGTTTAATTTCGCCTTTTTAGATTCTTATATATAGTGTTTTCCAGAATACATTGCCCTTCTGCATGCGTGAAGTTTGGGTAATAACAGCTTGCTTGGCGTTGATCGAAGCAACCACTTCTCATTATAAAGATGGATTAGCAGCGCCTGATGTTGAAAAGGAGTTTTACCGTGTACTTGGGGAGATTTATTCTTTGTGTCGAACTAAGGTAGAGTTCCTTATAAATAGGGCCTGAATCTAGAAAACTCAACGTATATATTTTGAACTCTTGTTGGCTTTCTCATTTGAGTGCCACAGAATCTTTTCTTTAGGCTGCCTGACGGATTATCATAAGCAGCAGAACTGCTAAATTTTAAAGACAAATTTGTCCCATTTTTTCAGTATTTTTAATTGGTTTTATGGATCCCAGTCCCCCC